GGGGACCTTTAAAGCGCCCTAAGACGCGGTCAGGGTCATCACCGTTCCCACCTCGGTGCATTTTGTATTCGGTAAAGCCGGATATATAAGCCGATACTGCTGAGGCAACGAGGTCGTCCAAGCCATCTCTTGATGTTGGCAATGACAGGTCTCTTTCCAGCTTCTCAACATCGGTGATGGGAACCTCGTAGACTGTGGAGGCCACATCAGACGGAGGATCAATCCAAACTGCAGGCACCACAGTTTCAAGGTCTTGTTTATGCGAACAAGGCCTTTGATGGTCTCTTCTTTTTTGGGTTTGAACTTCACCCCTGCCTAAGTTATACTGGAATGAAGCTTTTCAGGCAACTGCTTGGTGAATGTGATGGTTGATGCCCGGGTGGAATATAAGGAAATGTACTTTAATTTCTGTATTAGTCAAAGTCAGCACAAAGGGTACTTTTTACTTGCCATACATATATTGGATAAAGTAATTAAGACTAGACTTTTTACGATTGGATTATGCTGGAAAAGAAGTATGTCATCCACTAACACAAGTCTAATATAGCTGTTTAAAATGTCCATGTTTAAAGGCAGCAGTCATAGAGAGCAGGAAGACACAATATTGTTTAATCTCAGCAGTAAATCTTCATAGTGGTGCACTCATTTCATTTGTAACCGTGCGCAGAATGGAAATCACAACCCTGAGATATCATCGTGCAAAGTGCCCGTGCTCGTCAGATTGTCTGATCTGTGATTGAACTTGCGGACAGGAAACGACACAGACAGACTTGATGACTCCCATCATGCCGTTCTGCAGCCGTGTTGATTAGATTACTCTGAGAGCAAAGAGAGAGGAGATGCCCTTTACATCTGTTTGAAGCTTTTCATTATCTGATGGATTCAACAAACCCTCTATTCAACTGCAAATGTCATCATGAATAGTCCCATGGAGCGATTCCAACACTCAACCTGCACGCACATCTGCACACTTATGTAAATATATTTAACATGTTCATACAAATGCTCAACTTTTTACTGTGATATCCTGTTTCAATAGTTACTTTTCATATTTATCAGATGTCCACTTACATTATAGTTAATCCTCTATGTATGTTTACTGTCTACATCTGTATATGTGTGTATATATGTGTGTGTTATGTATGTATATATATTTTGTTCTTACTTTCTTTCTTGTATTTTCTTTGATTATATGTTTGCTTCTTCTTTGTTGGGATATATACTTGTGCAATGTCTTGTGCTGAAAAAACGAAATACCAATACAAATATTTGTCAAAAATCAGAATCAGAATCAGCACTTTAGAAACAGGAAGTGAAATAGAGGGATATGAGGCATGGCTAGAATGGGTGATCTGTTTGGTATTTTGAGCAAAACACTTCATAGACATGTTTTTTATATATTTGTATTTATCTGAGACCTATGCTATTGCCTAAAAATAGCATGATAGGTGACCTTTAAAGAAACATACATCTTAATTGTGTTTTTATTTTATTTTGTGCATGTTTGTGTGTGATGTGTGCTGAATATGGGGATGCATATAGGTCAAATGCATCATTTAACCATGCATGGTAATTTTCCAGTTGCTTTCATCTTCAGCATTAAGTGCAGTATTCTCCATTTTGGGTTCACTCAGTCATCAGTCAGTGCACTTCCTCCCAGTTTCTCCATTGGAAAAGCACCCCAGAGGTTTTAGGTTAGAAAGAGAAAAAGAGAGTACTTTGGCTTTTTTCTCTTATGAACAATTTCTTAAGTGTTAAGGTAATTCATCAAATCAAATCCAGCAGCAGGGGGGGAAGTGAGTTGTAAATTAATGATGACGTCTTCGACCTTAAAAGGTTTTATCAACAGTGACGCATCAACAATAATGTAATCATGACCAGAAGGAAAGTGTGCTGCAGAGAGAGTTTGGAAACATATTGAATGAGTAGTTTTATGTTTTACATTTTGTAATGTCACGTATGTTTTGTCCGAGCTGTGTAGAGTTGAGATGTAGGACAGCAGAGTGTCTCCATCTAGTGGTGCATCTCTGAAATACATGGATATGCAGAGGGATTAAATTGCTCTCAACACATGACAAGAATAACTCTACACCTTTTACTACATTTAAGCAAAGAAATATGAGGTTATTCTTTTAAAATTGCAAAAAAATCACAAACACTTTAAGTACATTTAAATGGCAATACTTTGGAACTTTTACTAAGGTTATATTTTGACCTGAGGATAGAATCAGAATCAGACACAGGTTTATTTCCAGGTACGTCAACACATACGAGGAATTTGACTCGGTGTTGTGGTGCAAACATAAAACACAGATAGAAAACTATTTTAAGAAAACTATAATAACATTAAAAAACAGTTAAAAATATAGTTAAATATAGCAGTATTTACATTGAATATGATTGAAATCGTAGAAATATAATTGGAATAAAATATGTGCAGTAATGAAAAAATATACATACAATATAATATATAAAATTGACCATACCACCTTAATTCCTGCATGTACTGCACGGCAAATATTTGACTTATTCCTGCATCTTATTTGCACCATCATGTCTATTGCATTATTTTATATCTTTTTATGTGTTAAGTATATTGTATGTTGGAGAATCTTGGGACTTCAGTTTTCAGTCCCAAAACACGGTATTGTGCGTATGACAATAAAGCCTTTGGATATTTGAACTGTCCTTCTCTCTCTCAGTTAAAGGGGACCTATCATGCAAAATGCACTTTTGTACGTCTTTTCTACATGAATATGTGTCCCCGGTGTTCCAGGGAACTCACCAAGTGTCAGAAAACACAACCCTCTCTATTTTCCTCCATACCCAAATCTCTAAAAAAGGGGCTGCAACGGATCTGATAAAAACTGATCCAGATTTGAACACTGTCCTGACGTCAGGACGGTGGCGCTACGGCTATTGGGCCAACTCCACCAATCAGGAGGAGACAGCCACGGCCATTGCCGTTCGAAAGCGCTGGAGACGCTGTAGTACATATGCCAGGCCTGTAGGTGGTGCTGTTCTCACTGAATCTGCCCTTGCTAAAACAGAGCTAGAAATTGTCAAATTGAGCAAAATGAGGCATGGCTAAAATGCATGATCTGAAAAAAAAAAGTATAAATATGCCTTATATAGGTATGGTCCTACACGATATTATTCAAATATAGCATGATAGGTCCACTTTAAACCCCACTGGTTTACACTCAAATGCTGCTTTTGTTGTGTCCCATTAAGTATAATCACCACATTGGAGAAACATGTTGCAGCTCTGTTCTGACTTTAAGTGATAAATTAACCCCAATTAGCTTTTTTTTTTTAAAGTCCTGACTCTGCTTTATCACAACAAATACAACTAGCAGTATAGGATTGTGGTGGCAGATGGATAAATGTCGCCTGCTGCAGGGTTAAAGACCGTCAGCGGCATTAACACCAAAACTAATCTGTAGACCAGCTGCTGTATGAAACACTGAGAAGAGGCCACACAAGAGGAGTTAAAGGACCATTCACAGCACAGAACATGCATTGTGACACGAGTGACGTCCTGCTGCTGTCCCATAGAGGCTGCAGTGTTCGTTACAGAAACCATCTGAACGTGTAGGAGAGCAGCAACTTCCTGGTGATTTATCTCAGCGTTACGACCACTGAAGATAAGAATGTAAAGACTGTGTTGAGGATGGCGCCATGAGGAAAGGTCGTTGAGTTCTTTTAATGTAAAGGAGTTATCCTCTGGAGAGAAGGAATGGATTTAAAGAGGCACTATTCTGCTTTTTAGGGTTTTTCTCTTTCCTGTAGTGCATTCTAAAGAATTGTGTGCATGTAAATGGTCTGCAAAGGCTCAAATCCCTGTGTTCTCCCACACACTGGGACTTAAGTGTTTCATTGCCATTTCTAAAGCCTTGAATTGAATTGAATGATATGACCTCTTCAACTATTGTTCCTCTGTTTTGTATTCAAGACAACCTGAAGGAGCTGAACTGTGATTGAACTTGCACAAAATGCAGAAGAAATGACAGATATACAGAATGTTTTTTATTGTACAGGTCTCATTTTACAGACAGAGAAAGATCAAGTAATAGCACCCGCCACCACACAGATTTGATATGAGTATCACCATTACAATTCCCCCAAACCTAAGGTCAGTCGAGTATGACTCCACATAATCCTCCACACGAAACCATACAATTGACATAAAACCTTCTATTATTTTTAAAATAAATGTATACTCATTTAGCCTTTTATCTGCACTGTGCTCTTTGCTTTAACAATGTACAATTTCCCCACTGTTGGACCAATAAAGGATTGCTGTTTCTGATAATACTGGTTTTGCACATTACCATAACACTGCCTTTGTACTATCATCACAACTGGTATATTTGTTTGTATACATATATGTCGAAATTCAGTATTGTTGCTCTATATTAGAATGAAATAAAATAGGATAAATACATTAAAATACGTATATAAAAACATAACAAAAAATTCAAATAAGAAGGTGCAAAATAAATACATAAAACGTAATAAAATAAAAATATATACATGTATTACAAGATAGAGTAATAACATGCACATTGTACTACAACATATAACATGTATATTCAAATATAAACAGTGGAGTATTGTATTACTTCACTTGTGCTAAAGGAGGTACACAATGTTCAACATTTTATTAATTATTTATGAGCGTCTTATTTTCATTCTTGTACGTCCACCATCTGGCCCCTCCCCCTTTCTACGTCACAAGCCCCTCCCCTTCCCTCCGCAGAGCTGCATTCCTGCTGCCACAACGGACCGAACCATTCTCTCTTAGCAACAACATTTCTGCTTCTAAATGTACCAACATCTCACTTAATACACATGTTTAATTTATGATACATTTTGAATTATATCATACTCTGTTTGGGCTTGGTGTTTTACGATTTAACAGTGGACAGTTATCAAGTTTGTCCAAACTGACACCCCTCTCGCCCGTCTTTATAATGGTCTGCTCCGCCCTTCTGCCATGTTGGATGTACGCATCTTTGCTGCTGCAGCCGCCGGAGTTTCCGAATGAAAGTTGAGCTTTTATCCGCCAACAGACACACGGGAATTGCTTAATTTCTTCCTCAACACAAACACGGATAAGTTCAGTTTCCTTGTGAAGCAGGAGCACTTCTGGAAACCCCCCAGCTGGTCCTCCTCCTGCAGCAGAGGAGATGATCCGGTTGCAGGCCACAGCAACCGGAGCACCGCGCATGGATTTTGTGTAATTACTGTTTGGTGAATCCGTCCGGGGATCAGTGCATCTCTTCGGGGGTTAACGTGAAGACATTAGGAGCCATGAACAGCCACCCTCCGGCCCGCAGGGCTGCGAACATCGGCTCCATCCTCCTGACCCCGCAGGAGAACGAGTGCCTGTTCGGCTACCTGGGCAGGAAATGCGCCGTAAGTTTCCCTGTTTGTTTACCTCCTGCAGGTGCACATACTGCGCAGATACATGCACCAAAAGCTTTTAAAGAAACGCCAGCATGTGCCTCTGCATCCTCGGTTCAAATGAAGCAGGAGAGTCATGTTACCACACCGGTGTTCCGTGCTAAACGGGGGCCCGGTGTTGCAACACTTCGGTGACCCTGCAGAACTCCTTGGCGTTTTTACTGTTTTACACATGGAAAACAAATATGGACACCTCATCTTTATTTGGTTTGTGCTTTTGTTTCTGTTGCATACCCTTAGTTTAAATGCACAATGATTGTGTTAGGTTCCCTTGAAAAAGAGTACTAACTTTAAAGCCTCTATCACTTTTAATTTGGTTGTATTCAGGCTGGTTTTTGTCCAGAGTTAGACCCTTTCTGTATTAAAATGAAAACCCTGACATATCATTAATCATATGAACCCTTAGATAATATTAAAGTATTTTATATAAAATATTTATTTATTATTTACATCAACCAATACCTGAAAATGGTGTGAAGAAGTTGATTTAACTAAGATATAAACATAGAAAATTCTAAATGCTGAAAACCGTTTCTTGCTATTTTTGCACAACAGACACTTTATGATTAACTGATTATTATAATACTCATCAACTCATCCCTCAATTGAGTTTGATCCAGTTACAGACACTGCCTTAGAAAGATATTTCAGCAAGACACATATAATTTGTATATCAATTACTCAACATGTGATACCTTGAATCATAAATAACTTGTTGTTTCTGTTAAAATATGTATTTCCATTGACATCTTGTGCATTGTGTTTTTTATAATGTGCCATTTTTTTAACACAAAATTCAACATCTTAAATGACTTGAGTCCCCAATAGGGCGCCAGGTGGAACACCACACACATCATCTTAGTAACTTTATGTTAGTTTTAGGTCACTAGAAGTTGTCATAGTGGAAGTAAATAATCAGCTGTGTGATGGTTTGTGTTAACAACTCTTTAAGTCCAATAGAGGAGGATGCTAATATCAGAAACTAAACTGTAATGCAGCCTTTAAACTATATTACGGTATCAGAAATCTAAGACGATATCTAGTCTCATATGATGATATTGATATAATATTGATATTTTGCACAACCCTGACTTTCCAGAACAGGAGGTTTGAAGTTAAAAGTTCACAAATGTTATCTGTAAAATGTTCCTGCAGCAGGGGGATGTTGAGTTGCAGCATTTCTACCATTTAACCGAGGATGGTGAAGCTTCTGTCCCTAACACTTATCAGATTCAACCAACTGTTCTCATTGCTGCCAATTTTTACACTTCATTGCCGCTTATCTCAGCCACTAACCAATCTAATGTAAGATGCTTTTAATCGTCTCTGATAAGGACTCAAACGATATCAGTCTGCAGGTCGATCTTATCTTTATTGAGGTGATGTAATGAGATGTTTGCTGCTCTGCAGGTTTTAAATGTCAGCTGGCTGAACTGGAGCCGGGCTGCAGGGCTGACTGCACAGAGGCACCTGAGCTCAGAGGTCACGGCAGTCAATTAAACTAAAACTAGTCCGCAAGATATGCACTGAGCACCGGATGCATCTACCTGGAGACTTTGTTGAACAGTGGATTACATTTTTGGGTATTAGAGCTGCACGATTTGGGGAAAGAAAACCTCATTGCGATTATTTTGCGATAAGATTTAAGGTATTGGATGGAAAGATAAAAATGTTTGCATCATACATATAAAATGATTATGGTTTTTTGTAAAGTCATTTATTTTACATGTCGTCTGTAGAATATGATAAGAAGGCCAGGATTTCTCTGCAGCGCCACAATACTTGATTACATTTTTATTTGAACACATTTAGCATCAAACTAATATTGGGCTTCCTTCCTTTTGAACATTTCTCTATTCTATAATGCAATAAAACCCTGATTAATTTTGCAGCCCTTAGTTCATATCTTAGATTAATTTAAAAAGAGCTTCACTTCATAATTCCTCATTTTAAATAATGTTTGTTTACAAACTTAGAATGTATTTTATCTTGGCGAACTCCTATGACTCCTTCTGTTTGGACATATTTAACTTAGCTTGTATAGATACATTTAACATGTTGTATAAGGAAACATGTTAATAAGGAAATTAGCCTTATTTCTTAACTGTATAAGCATTTATAAATACAAAATAAAACCAGCAGTACTGACCAGTGCAAGCTTAGGGAACCTCTGTCTTACATTGAACATTAACAACATGTAACCGGTACTGAAGGCTGCCGCTTGTTTGTAATGTGATCTCCTAAAACCATTTATAACATTAAAACGGGGATTATTTATTATTTTAAGTGCTCAGTAATTGCATTCCTCTGTCACTTTGTTTGTGGTTGTACTAGGGCTGCACAATTAATCAAAATACAATATATAGGTTTGTGATATTTTCACATCAGAATCCGAGTCAGAAACAGGTTTATTACCAGGTAGGTACACTTCAGAGGAATTTGACTAGGTGTTGACCGTTTACTTTCTTATAATTTAGGATTTAAATAGACCATTCAACTCGCATAACAAGCATTAAGATCACCAGTTTTTTTACAATGTCTTCACCAAAATGATCAAAAAATGTATCTTAAAAGTGATATTGCACTCAGGACAACCTCTAGGTCAGGGGTCGGCAACCTTTTTGATATGAAGTGCCATTAAAAAAAAACATTTTTTTTATCAGCGTGCCGACGATCGTGAATTATCAACGAGGGGGGGGGGAGGAGCAGGGCTGACTGCACAGAGGCACCTGCTGGCGGCGGTCTCGTTCAGGATCCGAAAATAATATATTAAAAATAAATATTTTGCACACATATTCCACTTATTCCTAGTGTGCCACTGGTTACGGTGCTGCGTGCCAATGGTGGCACGCGTGCCAGGGGTTGCCGACCCCTGCTCTAGGTGTTACCAGTACATTTCTAAAGTGTAATTTAACTGTATTGTTTTGATCACTGCAGTTAGTTTCAGTTAAGGAGCAGTATTAAGGTTAACCTGTGTTCAGACTTCATCTCTTTTCCACACAAACACACAGATGGGAGTTGTTCGGGGGGTATTTCACAGTAGAAAGTTAGAAATCTGTAAGTAAAGATAAATATGGTCAAACAGAATTGCGTCTGAATGAAATCTGGGATATGACATTTGGTATTTAGTGTTCAGGAATGCAAGGTGACCTTTTTTTGAAATATAAAAAAACACCATTTTAGAAAATATTAGATTTAAGGTTCCTGGAGTTCTGAGGCTAATTTGCTAATCTGGATTTGTGCCGAGCCCCTCTGCTCTTTGAACGACTCTGCGGGGGCATTTATCCGGAGGCAGATTACACGAGAAGTTTAAGGGCAGCGCTGAATTTGATAGTTGGGATTTATGGTGGTATAAAGTTGTTTTTTGAACATTTTCTCAACAACTGCTGGTGTGAAGATAACAGGGATGGACAAACTAACTCGTACGGTGGAGTTGGCGAACATGCACACAGAAGATGATATGATTCAACATTTATTTTAGGATAGAAACGTGTAGGAAGTGTGTTTTTTGGTCTATTGTGGAACCAACTTGTGCTGTAGCCCACATGACATCTGCAGAAAGTGTAGTGCTATTCAAAGAGTAAGACTTAATCAATCTATCATATGGACTAGAGCAATATTCCCAAATTGTACTTTGTGCAACATCAGTCCAACTACCAAGTGATATTTGCATTTCTGTTGACATGATGTTAATGTGCTGCAGCTAACACGCTAACTGATGAAAGGGATGCAGCTCTCCCAGTTTGTTCAGTGGCTCGTTGTTGATGAAGCCACCAAACAAAGTTGTGTGTTCATGTTGTTGAAGTTGGATATGAAGGAGACTTCTAAGCTAGTGTTGGTTGTTGGTCAATGTCAGCTTGTGTTGTGTCGCTGCTGTCTGGTTGTTGCTTTATGCAAAGTTTGAACGGTTTGAATGTCATTAAAGTAGTTATTCGGGAAATTGAAACCTGCAGAACAGCTACTGATTGAACCTCGTGGTGAAATTGCTTCGTCGTCGTCTCCCGGTGCTTTGAAGGACACTTTGAGAGAATCTGCAGTCCGATGCTGAGTCATTGTATTCATGAAACACGAGGTCGGAGAAAATCGACTCCAGAGGACAAACGATGTGTCCAGCGTTTCTGTTTGGTGTCTTTCAAGGTGCCCGAGAAGATTTCATGTTAGATTTGTTATATTGAAAAGTCAGATATTTAAAAAATATATATATATCAATAGACTGGTGCAAAACACAAATGTATAAATGAATATTAGGCACAAATAACTCAAATCATCTCAGATTGGCTAATCTTGTTGTTGAATGCATAATCAAAGACGATGTTAGTAAAAGAAGTTCCGGCTCCAACGGCATTCAGCAAAAAGTCAATAAATGTTGATTTTCCTTTCGTTTGTTTCAATTATTAAATGGGATATGCCATTATGTCAGCCTTCTAGAGCCAATTTAAAGTCTTTACAAGTTGATTTTTATAAAAATGTGCGCTACAACTAAGGATTATTGTCTTTGTTTAGTCTTAAGAGTTCCCAAAGTCCATCCAAAAAGTCTTACTAGGTCCGACAATCATCCAGAGGTTCAGCTTTCAATGGTATAAAAGATTCAATGATTTAAAAAAAGCGGTATTCATAAGATGCACAATAGCTGCACTGTGATTTTGGAATTATAAATCAAAGAGTCCAGGCTTATCCAACAATGCAACATGCGCTGTACTTAAAGGTGGGGTAGGTAAGTTTGAGAAACCGGCTCGAGATACACTTTTTGTTATATTCCCTGGAATGCTCTTAACATCCAGATGGCAATGAATATCTTAAGTGCTTTGACAATAAATCATCTGTGGAAGCCGTAATACTGTAAAAAGTACGACCAATCATTTTAGCCGGCCTGGCTAAAGTAACTGGATGGCCTACCTGCCTGTCAGACTTCCATCTGTGCACAAACTTATCTCGTGCCCTCATTGGTCATGTGCGCGTTCGTGTGTGTTGGAGGAGGGGCTCTGTAAGGAAGTGGCAGATTTTCTCCGGTTGTGTATTTTCAAATTCTAGCGATCTCGAGCCGGTTTCTCAAACTTACCTACCCTACCTTTAATATAAAAAGAAAATGACAAAATATTGCAGTACAAAAGACATAATAGTTCAAGTAGGTTGCATGAATAAGAAAAAGATATCTAAGATAAAACAGAGAGAAAGCAAATGGAAAATACCAACATGTGTTTTTGTTGATAGTCTCTGTCCTTTAAACCAATAATTTATTTAAGCTAGTCCTAAAACTATTAATCAAACCATTCATTATCTGATCAAAAAGCTGTTGAATAATTTGGAAATCACCATCAGTGATGTAGTTGTCCTTTGGGTCAATGATTCTAATGCTAACGTGCTAGCTGGTGTAACCCGCAGTGTTTCAGTCTGAGTTTTATGACAGCATACTTTCCCCACAGGGAGGATTTACAGAGCCTAAATGAGCCTTTTTAACGTCCGGCCTTTGACCTTTCCTGTGTGATGCTGAGCGCTGATTTCACGGGGAACAGAGCTTCCTGCACTCGTAAATCACAGGAGGAGAGGAGGAAACCGGCGCAGAGGCATTTCCTCCTCCCCTCGGCGCCCGGGTCTACTTTCTGCTGCAGAGGGAGAAATCCTGGCAGAGGATTTAACAAAGTGCGACTTCTGCAGAAACCTCAAAAACCACAAAGCAGAGGACAGCAGCTGGATTCTGTTTCCTGTCCTGCACAAGTGAAGGCTGAACACAGAGGAGACGTGACAGACTTTATATCAAACTGTGAAGTAAAGAGAGGCCGATCAGATTTAATTTAAGGGTGTTCATGTACCTGTATTGGCTGCAAAGTTTAGGATGTTTGGTATGGCGATAAGGAGTATACCAGTTATTACAATTTATTGAACATATTTTCATAATGACTTGTGCTTAGATTATGTATTATTTAAACATACACAAGTTTAACATGCTTCACAAACACGATTAACTCATGCCTCTAGACCACTATGTTAAATATCCCATGGGTAAAAGGTATAAAAAGCTCCTACGTGCAACATACTTTCTTCCTCATAAACCTGCTTATTTCTCAAGTGTCATTTTCCTAACAGCAGACATAGCGAATCACAAATCCAGTTCTTCAGTAAAAATCAATAATACAATATTTTTGACCAAAGCTGCAGGTTCTGCAGTTGGTGCTTTATTGAAATGTTCCAAAAAAAAAAGTAGTTATTGATAAGTGATCATCAGTCATGTGGATAACAAAAGAAACCAACACACATCATGCCACGACATATATCACAACATCAAGAGAAAAACTCTTCACCTGTTAGGAAAGCTATATAATATTCATAGCTTCACCTTTTAGTACGCAGCTTCTCTCTCTCTCACACACACACACACACACACACACACACACACACACACACACACACACACACACACACACACACACACACACACACACACACACACACACACACACACACAAAAAATGTTCTGGACTCCGTTAGTATTTTGTCATTTGTTTAGTTTTTTCTTTTAGATACTCCCTTCTCTCTTGTGTGTTCGTGACGCTGCGTGTGTCTGCACTATATCACTCAATACAAATAAAACTCAGACAAGTGTTGAAGGGGGAAGTTTCAGAAGCTGTTTGAGTATCCAACACGCTTTGTGATTATCTCCTAAACTCAGGTTGGCTTTGTCTCTAATGCTGTTGATTCTCTTTTTTAACCCGTCTCTAACGAACCCTTCTTCTGTTTGGATCAGACTAATGCAGCTTTTAGTTTCAAACACAAAGCCCAGTGAGTGCACCTGAATAATATCACACGGTTTTTTTGTTGCGCAAATGTGTGAATCCGTTGTTGAGATATTTGCAATTGTGTCCTGTAATCTGATCTGAAAAGGTGTCGGTGTGTCGCCCTGCTCTTTGTCTCTCACCTGGTTACGCAGGTGTTTGCTGAACGTTGTGCTTATCGCTGCTTAAAGGTTTTGCATCCTTTGGATTTCCTCTTCCTCATTTTCCTCCATGTTCCGGCTTTTTGACACGCGTGCAGCTTGGAGGCTTTTAACACATCAGTGAGGAGAAGTGAGGAGAAGTGAGGAGAAGTGAGGAGAAGTGAGGAGCAGTGAGGAGCAGTGAGGCGGCACAATGTGTTGGAATTCTATCAAAATTGCGGTATGGACGCTGATAATATCCAATATGCAGGAAGGACAATATTTGTTAAAGGCAAAATAGCGCTCCAACACATCGTATGTGATAGACAAAGGGGCGGGACATCACTAAGTGGTTGACCAATCACAACAGAGCCGGCCAGCTAACTAATCGGAGCAGACTGGGCTCTGGTTTCAGACAGAGGGTGAAAAGAGGTGCTGCAGCACAGGCAGTATGAGAAAAATAAAGAGCTTTTTGAACATTAAAGCATGGAGACATGTCACAGGAGAGACACTACATACTGATATACACCTGAACATCAGCAGGAGAGGACTCTTTAAAGTAGAGACACTACATACTGATATACACCTGAACATCAGCAGGAGAGGACTCTTTAAAGTAGAGACACTACATACTGATATACACCTGAACATCAGCAGGAGAGGACTCTTTAAAGTAGAGACACTACATACTGATATACACCTGAACATCAGCAGGAGAGGACTCTTTAAAGAAGAGACACTACATACTGATATACACCTGAACATCAGCAGGAGAGGACTCTTTAAAGTAGAGCCACTACATACTGATATACACCTGAACATCAGCAGGAGAGGGACTCTGTAAAGTAGAGACACTACATACTGATATACACCTGAACATCAGCAGGAGAGGACTCTTTAAAGAAGAGACACTACATACTGATATACACCTGAACATCAGCAGGAGAGGACTCTTTAAAGTAGAGACACTACATACTGATATACACCTGAACATCAGCAGGAGAGGACTCTTTAAAGTAGAGACACTACATACTGATATACACCTGAACATCAGCAGGAGAGGACTCTTTAAAGTAGAGACACTACATACTGATATACACCTGAACATCAGCAGGAGAGGACTCTTTAAAGTAGAGCCACTACATACTGATATACACCTGAACATCAGCAGGAGAGGACTCTTTAAAGTAGAGACACTACATACTGATATACACCTGAACATCAGCAGGAGAGGACTCTTTAAAGTAGAGACACTACATACTGATATACACCTGAACATCAGCAGGAGAGGACTCTTTAAAGTAGAGACACTACATACTGATATACACCTGAACATCAGCAGGAGAGGACTCTTTAAAGTAGAGACACTACATACTGATATACACCTGAACATCAGCAGGAGAGGACTCTTTAAAGTAGAGCCACTACATACTGATATACACCTGAACATCAGCAGGAGAGGACTCTTTAAAGTAGAGGACACTAACATACTGATATACACCTGAACATCAGCAGGAGAGGACTCTTTAAAGTAGAGACACTACATACTGATATACACCTGAACATCAGCAGGAGAGGACTCTTTAAAGTAGAGACACTACATACTGATATACACCTGAACATCAGCAGGAGAGGACTCTTTAAAGTAGAGACACTACATACTGATATACACCTGAACATCAGCAGGAGAGGACTCTTTAAAGTAGAGACACTACATACTGATATACACCTGAACATCAGCAGGAGAGGACTCTTTAAAGTAGAGACACTACATACTGATATACACCTGACCATCAGCAGGAGAGGGACTCTTTAAAGTAGAGCCACTACATACTGATATACCCCTGAACATCAGCAGGAGAGGACTCTTTAAAGTAGAGACACTACATACTGATATACACCTGAACATCAGCAGGAGAGGACTCTTTAAAGTAGAGACACTACATACTGATATACACCTGAACATCAGCAGGAGAGGACTCTTTAAAGTAGAGACACTACATACTGATATACACCTGAACATCAGCAGGAGAGAACTCTTTAAAGTAGAGCAACTACATACTGATATACACCTGAACATCAGCAGGAGAGGACTCTTTAAAGTAGAGACACTACATACTGATATACACCTGAACATCAGCAGGAGAGGACTCTTTAAAGTAGAGACACTACATACTGATATACACCTGAACATCAGCAGGAGAGGACTCTTTAAAGTAGAGACACTACATACTGATATACACCTGAACATCAGCAGGAGAGGACTCTTTAAAGTAGAGACACTACATACTGATATACACCTGAACATCAGCAGGAGAGGACTCTTTAAAGTAGAGACACTACATACTGATATACACCTGAACATCAGCAGGAGAGGACTCTTTAAAGTAGAGACAATATATACTGATATACACCTGAACATCAGCAGGAGAGGACTCTTTAAAGTAGAGACACTACATACTGATATACACCTGAACATCAGCAGGAGAGGACTCTTTAAAGTAGAGACACTACATACTGATATACACCTGAACATCAGCAGGAGAGGACTCTTTAAAGTAGAGACACTACATACTGATATACACCTGAACATCAACAGGAGAGGACTCTTTAAAGTAGAGACACTACATACTGATATACACCTGAACATCAGCAGGAGAGGACTCTTTAAAGTAGAGACACTACATACTGATATACACCTGAACATCAGCAGGAGAGGACTCTTTAAAGTAGAACATGAGAGATGGGCAAAAACAGAAGTGGATACGGTTTGAAGGGAATAGTCGGCATCTATTACATGTATTATTTGTACTGAATGTTGCAGCTGCTGATATTCACCTCTCTGTCCTCTGTCTCCTCTGTCCTCTCTCCTCTGTCCTCTCTCCTCTGTCCTCAGTCTCTGTGTTCGTCGGTGGTTCAGGTTTACGGTGCAGACCGGAGCTGCTGCTGGGTGAAGAAATGCTGCGGAGTCGCCTGTCTGGTGAAAGACAACCCGCAGAGATCCTACTACATCCGAGTGTTCGACATCAAGGTGAGCGGAAACACGTCCTGTGGAGGAAACCTAGGGCTGGGTACAAATCAATAGCTATACCCTTTTGTTTTATAGTAACTAACTCTCTCTTTCAAGTTCAAGTGTCAAGGCTTTATTGTCATGTGCACATTAGTTACAGTGTAGATATGGCAATGACATTCTTCTGACCTGAGCTCCTCCAACAATGCAACATATATAATAGAATAATGTAATTTCCCTACAACCTTGGTTTGACTCTTCAATCAAAGAGCAACTATAAAATCAATGGGTGTGTAGGATAAAATAAATATTTTCTGAGAAGAGGTCAAAGATTTCTGCAAAACGTAAATAATTTGTCCAAATCTATTTCTACGATTTCACAGGCTCCTCCAACAGTGCAACATGATCACAAATAAAACAGATACAATAGTGCAAGAGAATGTTTTGAGATGATCAAGTGAATACAAATAAAATTGAAATAGTTCAAGAAGAGTCTATCAAGTAAATGGAATGATATATTGGATAAATAATTAGCAAAATGCAAACGGATGAATGTTATGGATGTTCTTTAAAAGGTTCATGTGTTTAATGGTCTTATGGCCTGTGGGATGAAACCGTCCCAGAGTCTCTGTATTATCTCTTAACCTGTTACGCACGGCCTCGCCCGGTACCGGGCGGAAAAAACACGTTATTTGCAGGAAACAACGTCTAAGGAATGTTAATATTTAATAAACTATGAATGTTTTATATCCATGTAACGGGAAGAAACTCAGCTAACTGATCTTTTTAATTTTTTTTTCCAAAAAAAAACCCACAATGCTAACACTCAGCCTCTGAATTAGCCACGAGCGGAAAAAATTAACCTAAAACGGCACTTAAACTCACAATAACTCCCTTATTACTTATCCTAGATGCACAGCCAACCACTCGTTTTTGGTGTCCTGGAGACACAGAATCGTTTGGTGCCCACCTCAACACTCAGTGATAAACATTTGCGACGCTATAAACGAAAGCGTACATCATAACATGTGGAGCTAAGTAGCTAGAAACGCTAACATGGCTTACCTTGGTCAAAACTGGTCTTCAATGGCGTTAAAACGATAAAAAAACGATCCTGCAGTTAATCCTGCAGTTAATCCAATGTATCTGTGCCTTCTTTGAAATTATTTCTGATAATCCATAAGCAATAAAACTGCTTTTTAGTTTCCAAATTCCAGAAGAAAAGTTCGCTCCACTCTAACCTAGATTTCGAGTCGCGAAACCCCCACCTTTTCTCTTCACAATGAGTGTGTATGTGGGCCTCCCCCTTCGATTCTATTGGCTCTAACGGTCAGAAAGAGGTGTCAACCATCAAAATCGAGCAAGGGAAGCCAGAGATATAGAAAAAAAAACATTTTCACCCAAATCACCTCAGAGGTGGGGTGGTTTTGGCTAAACCTCTCTAAAAAGGTCAAATGTCACTTGTTTTGCATCAATCTTGATACAGGGTACTTATTATATGTTCTACTTTGGATTCCTAAAGCTTTAAGTCTACTAACCCATCATCCAAGGGTAGTTTTCACTATCTGTAAAAAATAATTTTTGGATGGACACTATCATTTACAGTTTTTTACAATGTAAAATCTGAATTTTCTTTAAAATAAAAAACATTTATATTGATTCTGACACTTCTACATCCAACTCACAGATGTAACCTTGCTTTGATCAAATAAATTATTCATATAACCCTTTTAGAAGTTAACTTGTAGTCATTTGTTTTGGGCATGTCATTTTCGAGCCTGAAACATGAAAAACAGGCTAGGTGCTTAACAGGTTAAGCAATGGCATACTTAAAGGTTAATATACATGCAATATTTTTGGAGTTTCTAACTAGTGTGTTATGTTAATGAGCTCTACTGTCACGAAAAACAGACGATTGGAAAGTATGGATGATTTATTATAGAATGAATATTTGTTCCTGGGTAAATTACATTCCAATGCTTCATTTTAGAGTAAATTTAAAAGGCAAAGATCAAATATTATTTAAAATTTTTTAAAGTGGACCTATCATGCTATATTTGAATAATATAGTGTAGGACCATACCTATATAAGGCATATTTATACTTTTTTTTTTTTCAAAATACCAAACAGATCATGCCTCATTTTGCTCAATTTGACAATTTATAGCTCTGTTTTAGCAAGGGCAGATTCTGTGAGAACAGCACCATCTAGAGGCCTGGCATATGTACTACAGCGTCTCCAGCGCTTTCGAACGGCAATGGCCGTGGCTGTCTCCTCCTGATTGGTGGAGTTGGCCCAATAGCCGTAGCGCCACCGTCCTGACGTCAGGACAGTGTTCAAATCTGGATCAGTTTTTATCAGATCCGTTGCAGCCCCTTTTTTAGAGATTTGGGTATGGAGGAAAATAGAGAGGGTTGTGTTTTCTGACACTTGGTGAGTTCCCTGGAACACCGGGGACACATATTCATGTATACAAGACGTACAAAAGTGCATTTTGCATGATAGGTCCCCTTTAAGTAAACATTAGAATTGTAAGTAAAAAAAAAAAGGTCAGATAAGATAAGATTTATAATAAGATAAAAATATGTATATTATTATACGGAGCTATGTAAAAATCTGCACACAGTACTACAATATATATATATATATATATATATATAAAGACTAAATAAATGTTTGCTGAATTTTGTTGTTTCTAGCACAAACGGAAAAAGAAAATAACATTGCACAACAAACATTTATATTATAAGTTAAAATATATTTGCTGAATGTTCTTGTTTTTTGCACAAACAAAAAAAAAGCTGACTCAAACCAGAGCATTGATTCTCCAATAAATAAACTGACACAAATCAATCTAAAAACTCCCCGTTTGCTTTTTAAACGAGCAGTAAGACTTGTGTGTGTGTGTTCAGTGCATGCAAATCTGCTGACTCACACTTGTAATCCCTCTAAACGTCTCTCTCTCTGTGTTTCTGCAGGAAGGGAAAACGATGTTCGAGCAGGAGCTGTACCACAACTTCTCCATCAGCAGCTCCAGATCCTACTTCATCTCGTTCACAGGAGACGTGAGTGTGTGCCGAGGCATCAGGAAACACACTCTGCCATTATCACACCTTATTAAACCCAGTTAAATGTTCACATGAAGCCCTGCTCTCTCTCTCTCTCTCTCTCTCTCTCTCTCTCTCTCTCTCTCTCTCTCTCTCTCTCTCTCTCTCTCTCTGCCTGTTATAATAGACAGTAAAGTGAAGCAGCTTCAGGAAGAGACTCCACTTTAAAATGTAGTTAAGTTATTTCACCTCACAAAAATCACCACAGTCTATGGCTCAATATTATAGCAATATTGTGATACGAGACTATATATCGTCTTACCTTTTCAATTTCATAATATCCTAATGGTGCGTTCACACCGGAATGTGATTTGTTTGGCGCGTCGCGATTACATGTAAAGTCAATGTAAAGACGCGGATAGACGCAAATCTGCTGGATAAGACGATGAAATTCACCAAACTGTGTGCGACGCTGGATGATATCGTGATCCCAGACACAGCTGCGTTTACAGGACTTCCACAGGAGGTTCAAAGCAGCAATAGTTGTAATATCTTCCATAATAGAGAACCGCAGTGACGCGTCCTAAAACCCGGAAGTAAGTTAGCATTTTTACCACGTCCGGTTCCTTCGTCAAAAAGCAATGCAATTTCTCCATAGGGTTTTGGAAAATATCTGGAAGTAAGGTCTGTGGTTGACACAAATTGAAGAGACAGATCACGTTTTGTTCTACGACATTAAATCCATCAGCAGTGACCCCGCTGGTGATTTCTGAAGAGTTGACGTGTCTGAAAAACGATGGTTGTTACCAAGTGGCTGAATAGGACTACAGAAGTTGTCGAGGCCGTTGTACGTCATTACGCCGAACACGTAAACACTCTTCTAAGTTTGTTCGCTCTGTTCTGCTTGAAAGCAAGTACCTGCCTCCTGCAGACTGTTCAAACAAACGCTTCAACTCGTACCATTTAGAATCTGTATGTTTGAATATGGATCTTAAGTTGGCGTGACGTAGAAGCAGCGATCCTGCTGTAGTTAGTTTATAGCATAACGTTAGCATTTTGCTTCTGGCGACTAGATTTACGATTAGAAAATTATAAAAGTAGTGTAGACATGTGGAGATTATCCGGCTGAACAAAACGTGATCCGTCTCTTAAATGTGTCTCAACCACAGACCTTATTTCCAGCTATTTTCCATAATCCTATGGAGAAATTGCATTGTTTTTTTGACGAAGGAACCGGAAGGAGTTTACTTCCGGGTTTTAGGACGCGTCACTGCGGTTCTCTATTAAGTGCAGAAAGAAACAAAACTATTTTGCTTGGACGCGCAAACAACATCAACAGCGTGTCAAAGGCGTGGCGCGTCTGTTTGAATGACGCCATAAAAATAACTTCAAGCCGCGGTGAAACTCACACAATTAGAGCGATGCGAATATTCTAGAACGGACCATTAGTATTGCCTTTTCCTCGATTTACAGACTAAACTATGGTAAAGTGATGTCTGTGTGTTTCTGAATTTACCAGACATGTCTACCCACTTATTCATAAAATCCTCATTTCTGACGATTATTTACCAAAATGCTCATTGTTTAATTATTTTGTGAAAGCATCAATGTGTTTGAGGTGTTATTTAACTCGAGGGTCTATAGCAGTGATTCTCAAATAGGGGTACGCGGACCCCTGGGGGTACTTTGGGGTACTGCAGGGGGTACGTGAGATTTAAAAAATTAAATTAAAAAAAAGGTTAATTTAAAAAATACCATGCATGATTACAAAAATAATCTTAGTACAATAAGTTAAATAGAAAAACACCATTTTATATAAAATATTCCTAGAACCACCAAGGGGGTCCTCATATAAACATGTCAAATGTGTGTATTGTATTTTATAGTTTTTCACAATATATAATTTTGTTCATTGGTTTGTTAAACATATTACTTCAATTGAAAAACTCCTTGGAAAGATCTGTTTTATAAAAATGTCGTTATGTTATTTTTTTTCATGCATGAAGATGAAAATATCCTTCGTTTGTTGTAATGCATGCACGAAGGAGTTAATAAATCACACACTGAGGGAACATCACTATATTGTAATTATTTATATAGGCTTTTTCGATCAAAAATGTTCGGGGTCGGTCAGGGGGTACTTGGCTGAGAAAATGTTTCAAAGGGGGTACATTACTGAAAAAGGTTTGAGAAGCACTGTCCTATAGCACTGCAGGAAGCCTTGTGCTATAGAAGTCTGTGCTGAATGTATTTCAGGTAAAGCCAGAAATCAGCAATATTTTGAGAAATAATTAACCTGTTAAGCCCGGAGCGGGGGCTGCAGGCTCTTTTTTCACAAAACTGTGTCTCAGGGCTTCTTAACATTTAACAACCTATTAATGTGTCGTACCCACTTAACGGGAAGAAACTCAGCTAACTGACGATACGAACCATTTTTTAACCGAAACAAAACACAAGTCTCACAAGAAGCGTCTAAATGAGCCCTGAGCCAAAAAACACACTTAGCACAGAACTCACGGTAGAAATACTTTATTACTTATCGGATCTGCACAAACAAGATATCAATTAGCAAGCTGAGATTCCACAGATTCTACAGGTATTAGTATCATCACTGAGCGATCATCACTGAGCGATCAGAACTCGCGGCAGGGGAAGCAAAACCAGACATCACACGACGTAGCTTTACGGAGCAAAAACGGGACATTTTCTTACCTTTGCTGTTTTCTGATCAAAAGTTGTGTTCAATGGCATTAAAACGCATAAAACGCTGCTGAAGGTTAATCCAATGTGTCTGAAATGATTACTGATAATCCATCTTCATATTTATGTCAATAATGGAGATTTCATATATAGCTGCTATTAGAGCTACGAGAGCTACAACCCAGCTTCCGGTTTTGGACATTCTGGCTACGCATCACTCATTCACCAATGGGTAAAGTTTAGATGGATTTTAGGAACTTCCCCTCGATTCTATTGGCTCTAACGGTTCAAAAGAGGTGTCAATCATCAAAATCGACCAATGGGTTCCAGAGATAGGTCAAATCCACCCAAATGACCCCAGAAGTGGTTTCTTTTTGCTAAACCTCTCTTAAAAAGGTCAAATGTCACTTGTTTTGCATCAATCTTGATACAGGGTACTTATTATATGTTATAGTTTGGATTCCTAAAGCTTTTAGTCTACTATCCCATCATTCAAGGGTAGTTTTCACTATAAGTAATGGTTTATCTTTTGGACGGAAACTATAATTTACATATTTTTACTATGTTCAATCTGAATTTACTTAAATAAAAAACATCTATATTGATTCTGACTCTTCTACATCCAACTCACAGGTTTATCATTACTTTGAGAAAAAAGATTATTAATTCAACCCTTTTAGAAGTGAAGATATAGTCATTTGTTCTGGGCATGTCGTGCCTGAAAAACAGGCTCAGGGCTTAACAGGTTAAATACGTTTTTCTTAATGTAATGCCATCTTTTGAATTCAACAATGCTTAATCTCTAATCAACACATCCTTATTGAAGTCGTGCAGACTTTAGACTCTATAATCTCCTCTGTTAAGTACTCTTTATTCAAAGTAAGATGTTTTTATTTGAATGATGTGTGTTTTTTCTTCCCCTCAGAACTGTCAGATCGGTCTGAACTTCGCCAGTGAAGAAGAGGCCAAAAGATTCAGAGCGGCCATCAACGACCTGCTGAACCGACGGCAGCGCAAAACCGGTACGTTATACTGACGTCCTCTTCCTCTTCCTCTGTGTGACCTTTCACCTCTCACTCCTGGGCTTCAGAACTCTCTCCTCCTCTTCTGCTAACAAAACTTCAGCCTCCGTCCCAAACCCGTCCGCCTCATTCAAGTCCAGTACTTTCTACTTAAGTAACACTTCATATCCAGGACTTTTACTTGTAACAGAGTATTTATACTTTTACTTAAAGTGGACCTATCATGCTATATGTTAATAATATAGTATAGCACCATACCTATATAAGGCATATTTATACTTTTTTTTTTTCAAAATACCAAACAGATCATGCATTTTAGCCATGCCTCATTTCGCTCAATTTGACATTTTTTAGATCTGTTTTAGCAAGGGCAGATTCAGTGAGAACAGCACCACCTACAGGCCTGGCATATGTACTACAGCGTCTCCAGCGCTTTCGAACGGCAATGTCCGTGGCTGTCTCCTCCTGATTGGTGGAGTTGGCCCAATAGCCGTAGCGCCACCGTCCTGACGTCAGGACAGTGTTCAAATCTGGATCAGTTTTTATCAGATCCGTTGCAGCCCCCTTTTTTAGAGATTTGGGTATGGAGGAAAATAGAGAGGGTTGTGTTTTCTGACACTTGGTGAGTTCCCTGGAACACCGGGGACACATATTCATGTATAAAAGACGTACAAAAGTGCATTTTGCATGATAGGTCCCCTTTAAATACAAGATCTGTGTACTTCATCCACCAAGAGGTTTCTCAACAGGAGTGAATCTGTGCCGACAACAGTAAACATGGAGGGTTTATTGATTGCTGCCACTGTATTATATTTGAGTGCATTTTTTAAATAGGTGTATAGAGGAAGAAGGAGATTCAATTATAATCCCAAGTGCTGTCGGACTCTTGGTCTGAAGAAATGTTTTGGTCTTGAGACTGTTCTTAAATTAAGAAAAAATGATTTACTGAGTGCATTAATCTTTGGTCTCTTATTCGAATATATTCCGTTTATCATACACACCAATATATTGTTGAGTTCCTCTTCGATTAGAGAGTTATACTGAGGTTGTAGTGAATGAATATCACAAAAAAATACTTTTATCAGAAGCTGAGGTATCTTAGTTTGTGAATTAAGGACCCTGGTTGTAAACAAATCTTAGTTTCTTATCGGTTCATGCAAAGATATGCAGCTTCTGGTTGTTGTTGGCGCAGTGTTTGTTGGGGGGTATTAAGCTATGTGCATTGCGTTCATATTAACACCAAAATATTGCAAGTTGATTGAGACGTATCTGAAGATGAGGACGTGTTGAGTTTGGGACAGTTTCCTCCTCCTCTCTGCTGCTGTAACCTGGTTGTGTTTGTCTCTCTGTGGTAAAGCTGTCAGTCTCTGCTCTGTTCTCTGCAGCGAGGCTCCTCTCAGCATGTCGGCCTTTTTGAAGTGCAGCGTTCAAACTGTGATGATGACTGAGGGTCAAACGGACCTGGAGCTTTTTTGAGACACAACTGAGCTTTCAAAGCTTTTGCTTCCCTTCCGCTCAAGACTTCCTGAACTCTTTTTCTGACTGTTTACATCAAATAGAGTGGTGCAGGGATGATGTATATTTATATATTTATTTTTCGACTAAGCAATAGCATCTACCAGGTTCACTCTACAAAAAGCCAATACGATTTTTCCATTGGATTTTAAATTACAGAAAATAAACTGTGTCAAACAAACGTTTATGATGCTTACACGTTTAGTTCAGCAGGATAATCTCCACATATCAACACCACGTTATGCTTTTTGAAGTAAAAATCTAACGTTAGGCTATAAAGGAACTACAGCACGGTCACATGACTTCACGTCACCACCGCTAAGCTAAAGGTGGCTAATGTTGGGCTATAAAGGAACTACAGCATGGTCACATGACTTCACGTCACCACCGCTAAGCTAAAGGTGGCTAATGTTGGGCTATAAAGGAACTACAGCGCGGTCACATGACTTCACGTCACCACCGCTAAGCTAAAGGTGGCTAATGTTGGGCTATAAAGGAACTACAGCACGGTCACAGGACTTCACGTCAACCACCGCTAAGCTAAAGGAGGCTAAATGTTGGGCTATAAAGGAACTACAGCACGGTCACATGACTTCACGTCACCACCGCTAAGCTAAAGGTGTGCTAATGTTGGGCTATACAAGGAACTACAGCGCGGTCACATGACTTCACGTCACCACCGCTAAGCTAAGGTGGCTAATGTTGGGCTATAAAGGAACTACAGCACGGTCACATGACTTCACGTCACCACCGCTAAGCTAAAGGAGGCTAATGTTGGGCTATAAAGGAACTACATGCACGGTCACATGACTTCACGTCACCACCGCTAAGCAAAAAGGTGGCTAATGTTGGGCTATAAAGGAACTACAAGCACGGTCACATGACTTCACTTCACCACCGCTAAGCTAAAGGTGGCTAATGTTGGGCTATAAAGGAACTACAGCACGGTCACATGACTTCACGTCTCCACCGCTAAGCTAAGGTGGCTAATGTTGGGCTATAAAGGAACTACAGCATGGTCACATGACTTCACGTCTCCACTGCTAAGCTAAAGGTGGCTAATGTTGGGCTATAAAGGAACTACAGCACGGTCACATGACGTCACGACACCGCCGCTAAGCTAAAAGCGGCTAATGTATGAACATGATGACGTTCAGTCGTCTCATTTAGACACTTGTTAGGAACCGCCGTTTTTAAATCCACCAAAAGGGTATTTACTGATTTATTTTATGTCGTAGAACAATAATCTCTTCATCTTGTGTTAACCACAGACCTTATTCCAGGACCCAAAACATATTCAAACATATCATTGACTTCGAGATGATGGAACAGGAAGTGCTAAAATGCTGACTAATGTCCTGGTTTTAGGACTCATTCCTGCACCCCTCTCTACATAAGGCAGCATGTTTTCCTCTGAAAGCTTCAACACTTGTGGGCTTTGAATCTTTAAAACTCGTCTTGCTTGAACTGCCACAAAACTAAACCTGCGCACACTTTCTGAAACCCTCTTCTCTCACCTTTTAAAAAAAACTCTAAATATCTTCCATTTTACGTGTTGATATTCTGAAACTATAATCGTGTTAATTTCTCTTTTTGCAGAGAAGAGAGGTGACCCTAAAAATGGTACGTTGAACTCTAAATGTCGATGATTCAGATTCTCCTCCAGCTGCTGTGGCCTCTGGTCTGCTCCGTCATCTTGACCTGGATTAACAAAAAAAACATCTGCTGATTTTTAAATGACAATCTCCAGATGTACCGTCTGTTTGGTGTGGTGACGAAAAAAAGAACCTACTGGTCAAAAACTTGGCTGTTTTTTAAATGGATAAAAACGGTATAATTTAGACACCAAATGCAATATTCAAATGCAAGAAGACTAACATTTTAAATAAGAAGCCCACGTCAAATAAGTACAGATGCAATATTAAAAAAAATGTGCTTGTTTTACTCTCGGCGTGCGCCCTCATACCAAAATGCAGATTTTCCCCGTAAAATGTTAAAGTGATGCCAGAAAACGATATTTCTGTTCGTCAAAAACTGTATTATTACTCCAAAAATATGAACATGGTGTCAAATAGAGCGTCTGACGGCAGAGACAGTTTTGTTTTTACGGAGCTCCGAATTGATATATCTTATATACAAGATCAGCGCCATAGTACTCATACTATATCTTTTAGAAACACCCCTGATGACCATATAACAAGTGGTGACGCAGCAGCCAGTATTAACATTATGAAATTGTGGAATTCTGTATCGCACAGATTGTTTTTATTTAACAGTGTTGTAAACGTTCAAGGTTTTATCAGCTTTCTCATTTCAACAATAAAACAGTTTTGCTTTGTCACAAGGAAGTACCAAATCTGATGAATCCTATTCATACTACAACTTCTCACTTAACCTACAGTATGCGACAAACATTAGTGTACTGTATTCTGAGTGAGTATTTCTAATACAAATGAGTTTGTAGTATACCATGAGTAGGCCTGAGTATCTCTGCAGCTCCACAATACTTTATTAAAAATGGGTTTTTAACATATTTAGCCTTTTAACAAATAGGATTTTTGTTTTGCATTACTTTCAATTACATTTTGATTAATTGTGCAGCCCTTATTCGTATAGATTCTTCTTCTCAAACACCTGACTGCATCCTATATCCTCTTAAACGTTTGTCTATATATCCAGTAGCAGACCGTGGTTTTACAAAGCAGCTCGTAGAAAGTAGAGGCAAGAATCTGATTATAAACGGAGCAGACACTTTACCCGAAGATATGTTTTTGTGCGCGACTGTGTGACAGCGCCGTGGTGTTTCCTGACTCGCTGTTTTGCAGACTTCATGACTCACACTCACACATATAGGAGGGAGTCAGCCGCAGGTTAATCTGTCAGCAGGAAGCCCATCTGTGCCATATGTGGACCACATGGCCTCCGTTGTTGTTCCCTTTAAACCCTGTCGTGCTGCACATTAAGGCTAATCTCTAATCTCCATAGTTACTGCTGCTTCACATTTGTTCTGGTCGCTTCATCTTTCTTAAATAAATGTTTTAATATTCATAAAAAAGTGTTTATGAATCAGCATTACATTTGACTAACACCCATGTAGATGTGCCAGTATTAGCTCAACGGTGCATGTATTACTTTGTTTGCAAAAACAGAATTAAAGAAATGGATAGATGTAAGGTCTCCAACATGTGTCGAATGGCTGGATTGTGGATATCTCAAAAGACCTGAAGAATTCACACACTTACTATTTTATCACAATATTTCAACTAAAACTGCCTGCAGCCTGATATTCTTTTAAACCATTGACCTTATACTTTACGTTATATATATACTTTGATTGATAGTATGATGTAGATGCAATATTTTATAAAGCTCAGCCATTTCAAAAGTGTTCCTTTCCACACCAAACAAGGCTGATATTTTAAGATCTATCCAATTTGTAGGCGGTTTATACAAAGCTCACACCATTTGTTTTTGACACCTCCTTGTGGACGTAAGGCCAGAACATTTTTTTGCAGGTTTAATGTGGATGTGGTCTAAAGTTAAGTTAGCGGGACTACAATTTGTATTTGTCAAAACCTGGGGAAGAGAATAAGCTCCATTTACATGACATGTCATCAGCAGTTGCTTTCATCCAATATGCTTACTCTAAGTGCATTAAACATAGAGATACAAGCTCAGAACGGCAAGAAAAATACAGATACAGTAGCTTATAATAAATCAAACCATTTTTAGGGCTGGTGCATTAGTTTCAAATAGACTAAAACGTATCTTCTGTACAAGATAAACGGCTTGGAAGATGTCTAAACTTCCTGCTGTGCTGAAATCAATGGGTCGCCTACCATTTTTAAACCAGGATGGCAAGCAGGTGTGTCTTTGTTGACGGTTACCTGGGTTCATCATAACCTTTAGGGAGCAGCAAGCCGATTGGCCGATGCAGAGCAAAGTGCTGAAGTGTATAGTTGAACCGTTTCCTGGATGTAGGAAGGACCGAATCCCTTCACAGCACTATAGCCAAGCACCAGTGTGTTGAATAGAGTGGCGAAGTCCCTCCCCTTCCGGTTGAGCCCCATGGGACCTTATTTCGGAAAAATTATGTATTGAAGTCAATGGAGAGAGAAAGATTATCTTTCGATCCCGTTTGAATTGTGCCACGAATTACACATATGATGTTTGTCAATTTAAAAGATAATTTTGCAAGTAAAAAAAAAAAAAATGTGTCGTAAAACTGTGAAGTAACACATTTGTTTGTGTGAAACGCTCAATGAACTACATCTCTGGTCAACAACACACGTCACCAAGATGGCCGTCACTACTGTCTTGTCAACAAATGATTGACTACCCTCACTATCACTACAATGAAACACGTCCTGAAGAATGTCATGCAAAGCTGCCTGCCTGCCTTCCTTTGATTCTCTCTGAACTGCCTGGTCGTTTTAATGTTTAATGTCAACCATTTGTGCAGATAGCATGAAGTAGAGAAGATCGCCGAGGCTAACGTTAGCGTTAGCATTTCTCCCCCGGAATTAAATGGTGTATTATAGAATGATCACACCGGTGACAGTACTATTCAAAGGGTTCACGAAATATGACTACTACTCTACTGTTTAACATTTTGGGTTACTTAATGTTACTTCATGTTAAGGCTAATAAAAATGACAAGGCTGTAATGCTAACTATCGTGCTAGCTACTAGCTAGGTAGCTAACTTGATCAAGCCACTCCTGGTCCTTTCATCAGACGGGAAGCAAAAGAACGAGCAAGACCCATTGCTGGTATGATAACAACGTGGTACTAAGCACACAGGCATCTTGTTAAAGTTATTTTATCTTAGCCAGCGCCATATAGATAGATTATATCTATATGGCGCTGATCTTAGCTATCTCTTAGTGGAGGAAAACAATTGTGACATCACTTATGCGACTCTGGGATTTGTAGTCTTTCTAGTTACGTATTTTTCATAGTCTTATATTTCAACAGTTTTACGACAAACTGTGACTTTGACATGGAAATGATTTTTTAAGATTGACAAACATCATATGTGTAATTCATGGCACAATTCAAACGGGATCGAAAGATAAGTTTTCTCTCCCCATTGACTTCAATGCATTATTTTTCCGAAATAAGGTCCCATACCCCGGAAGTAAGTGGGAGGGACTTCGCCACTCTATTGATAGATAGATAGATAGATCGTACTTTATTGATCCCAAATTGGGAAATTGTTTTTGTTACAGCAGCATAAAAGGCATTTTACAACAAAACAAAACTACAAAATATACAAGAATAGAAATAAAATAAAATAAAATATAAAATATACATGTCGAAATAGAAAATATACATGCAGATATTATATATATATATATATATACAAATATATATATATATATTCAAAATATATGGAATATGGAGTATTAAATATGAAACAGATTATGTGTGAGTAAAATGTACAACGTGGTTTTATTTCAAGAGAAACTATGGAGCAGAGAGTTCTCTTCCAGCCAGAGGTGATTTGTTGTACAGTGTTATTGCAGTGGGCAGGAATGTTTTCCTGTACCAAACGCTGGTAAAATATGCAAGTTGACAATAAATGTGTATCAGTCCCTTCAGTAGCCAGTTGCACGGTGGACAACATCAGTGAATTTTGTACGAAGAGTGTCTTTGCTTTTGGGGAGGCAGCTACAACGTGAAGCCTATCTTAGTGTGTTTGTTCATGAGGTCTAGGCAAACACAGTTGTGAGTTTTGGTCGCAGTGCATCAGAGTTTTAATTATTCTCCTCTGAACAGACTGTTATCTTTCATTAAGCCCTCTGACTGTGGGCAAACAGTGAGGCGACAGAGAGCAGGATTAACATACACCGAAACGAATCAGTCGTCTCTTTCATGAGCTCCAAAATGTTCTCCCTGCGATCGGGCTTTCTCCACATTCACTCTGACATTTCAGTTGTGAAGCATGAGACCAACAGAGGGGCGATGCTGCTGTGGATTTTCTCTGAATGTGGGTCTCAGTTTCTCTATTGTTCTTGTCCTCATTGTGAGAACAGGAATGACAAGAACTGGTCTAGTGAAGCAGCTTCAGGGTTACATTGTTTGGGAATGTTGAGGCCTCGGAGTCTCTTGTTACCTGATGTGAACTCTTAAATCCAGCCTCAGCTTCTCCACTTGATCTTTATTGATGAGGGCTTGAATATATACTCTTTTCTGTATCCAGTCAATTAGGAAAGGTAGTTGTAAGTTAATGCTGTCAGGTTTGTTTTGCAAAAGATCTAAGAGTTTTATGTTGAGTTTCGCTGCTTTCCTTATGGAGTCTATCAAGTTACACTCCAGTCTCTCAAAGAGTTTGATCGCACGTGTTCTTGGCAGGAACTCAAGTTTTTCTTGGCGAAACAAGAAACAGTGTTTAGTGAAATCTGCAGAATGATGCCGACGTTTCGGACATTACTTTGGGAAGCATCAACATGTTTTTCCTGAATACAATTTAAACGTTGAACAAAGTTCGCCTTCACTTGTTTTCTTCTTGACCTTCTACTTTGTTTGGGAATGTTGAGGCCGCCGAATCTCTCGTTACCTGATGTGAACTCTTAAATCCAGCCTCAGCGTCTTCACTTGATGTTCATTGACAATGGCTTG